CGGGACCGGGGCGGGGCCGGCGCTGCCCCTCGGTGCGGCGGCGCGTCCCCCTCCCCGGGCCGCGGGGAGGGCCGGGGGCGAGCGGCGGGGGAGCGGCTCCGCTTCCCGGGCGGGGGCGGCTGTGGCAGCGCCGCTCCTGCTGCCCCCCGCCCGTGCCGGGGCCGAGGCCGCGGGTCCCAGCGCCCTTTGTGCCGGGCGGGACCGGGGCGGGGCCGGCGCTGCCCCTCGGTGGCCCGGCGCTCCCCCGCTCGGGGGTCCCGGCGCTGCCGGCTCCAGGTGCGGCGCATCCGTCCCTTGTGCCGGCAGCGGCCCTGAGGAGGGGCCTGGTACCCCTCGATGCTGCCCCTCCGCCTCTCCCAAAGTGTCTCTGCTTCCCGTAGACATTCCTGTGAAATTCACGTCCTTGCTTTACATCATCTGGCTCTCCGGGCGGGAGGGAAAGCCTGGAGAACGAGGTTAAGRAGGGCTGGAGGCACTGCAGCGGCGGTGCTGCCTGTGCCCCCCGGTGCAAGGGCGATGCCGGTGTGCATCCATCCCATCCCATCCCATCCCCATCCCCGCCAGCATGACTCTGGCGTGAGCAGGGATTTCCAGCCATTGGTTCCTGTGACAGTGATGGATATTTGCATCTCCTTCCTTGCAAAAGTCAGTGCTAGTAGTTTGCAGAAGGATTTTCTGAATGGAAGAGAGAGGGATTTGTTGGCCTTAGACTTTATATTTCTCTGATCCACCAGCAGGAACTGCTTACTGGGATTAGGTGGGTGACTCTCATTGGGGCTAAGCTCAGTGCTTACACTCCATCCCTACTCCCAAGGTGCTTTCCTGACGTGTGGGAGCTCCCTTGAGGCTCAGTGATCAGTTCCTGTGCYGTCTGTCTCATGTTGCCACACTGAGTGCAGCCTTTGTGTCACAAGAGGCCCAGCTCTGTGAGACCCTGCTTGGTGTAAATCCATCAAAACATGGAGCTGCTTCTCCAGATTGAGCCTTGTTCCTGTGCTGTATCTGTCCCTCAGTGCTGCTGGGCTTCAGACCCTGCAGAAAGATGTGGCCTGCAGCAAGAAAAACAGGCTGTTCCTTTTTATATTTATATGAAGTTTATTTTGAAAAAGAAAATATCAAACTTTGTCTTTTGACATTAAACTGAGGCAGATTTTTCCAATATTTTATAAACATATTTGCATATATACCTTATTCCCCCCCACTTATCTTGAGTCATAAATCATTTTTCCATAAGCTTAGAAAACATAGGACTGATAATACTCCMAATAATGCAAGAAAATATTTCTTGATGTACTGGTGTTAAAAGGTTCTGGGCTTTCTCCTTTGCTTTGTTATGTATATTGTGGAATTTGGCTTGCCAACATCTGTTAGGAGTTACAAACTTCTTAGAACAGGATTATTTTTCTGTACTCTTTATGGCATGATTACAGATAGGTGTAGGGGAGGAATCCTCTCTGGATAAGGAAGGAAGCTGTTCTGATTCTTGAGATGCTGAATTACTGGAGTTATAGTGATAAGATGCATCAAATACCTTATTGTCAGTATCGAAATATAGTGAATATATGCTCATTATGTCAATGGTKTTAATGCAGGTGGGAGGGTTTGTGTCCTGTGTCTGCCCTAAATGCAGGACCTCTCAATTCAGCACCAGGAGCCATGGCTTAGCATGTCAGGAGTGTGTTTGAGTGAAGAGGGGAAGAAGGGCAGCTCARGTCTGTTGTGTTTTGGTTTTTCTGCATGGGAGAAGACAAACTTTTCCAGGGTTTCTTCCTTCCTTTGCAAAGAAAAAAAGTGTAACCATCTTTCTCCCAAATTTACAGATGTAGACAGGCTTTTCATTCATTTGTTGAGTGCTTGMATTCATTTTAGAAAAGATGAAACAGCAAGCTGAGAGGATGCTAATCTGTATTGAAAACAAGGGAAATCAGGGCAAACCAGTCTGCTCTTGTTTATTGTTATAAATGCTGCTTTAACCAAAATCTGCTTTTGTGTGTCCAATTCTGTGGGCCCGGACTGACAGCAAGCAGTGTTTTGTAAATTAACCAGTGCCTGTCTCACGGAATAAATCCCTGGAATTCCTGCCAGTCGTGCCCTGTGCTCCAGTGAGCCCTCACCTGCTGCAGAGCTGTCCTGGGGAAGCAGAAGAAACTGTTGATGGTACCTGTAAAACCAGAGAGAGCATGGGGAGTGCTCTCAGCAGAGTCTGCACACAGTACTCATTATTGTATTTATCAAAACTGGGGGTGAACAGGATAAAATTAGACTGTAGTAGCACAAAGAGCCTGGAAATTAGTRGAATTCCCTGTGATTTTGGATATAGAGCTTCAGAAAATAAAATTGCCTTTGTTTTTTCCTATGGAAATACTCACTGAGCTGGGAGGTTCTTTTCCTGGACAGTGCCTCTTTAGCAGGTGTGTGTTCTTAGAGTGGAGGAAGCTGCCTGTTGATTTTGAGGGATTTGTGGCTGTTTCTGACAGTGCTGATGCTGAGGATGGAGTGGTGCTGTGGGGATTTTCTGTCACCAATATGTCTGTGTGTTATGGTCTGCTGAAGAAGTTCCAAGAAAATGGTTTGAAGGATGRACTTAGGTGTATTTGAGGGCTGTTAAGGACAGCACTAGGGACTTTTTCTAGATGTTGTGTGTTTCTCCAGACTACTAATTACAGACTAAATAGAGATGATTTTACTCTGTGTTCATTAATTACAAGTAATAGAGCAAAATCCACGGCTCATTGTAGCCCTTCTAAACAGCCTGAGTGCACAACTTTCAGACACTCAGGTTGTCAGTAGTGGTAGTTCCAAACCAATATCTATGTTCATTTAACCAGAGATTGCACCTTCTTGCTTCAGACTAGAGAATACCTGAAACAGATGCTCATCACTTCACAGCCATGAAAACCACCCATTTTTTCTAAACAATTAATATCTATGACCAAGGCAGGTTTCCTTAAACTGAACATTTTTGGATATAAGTAAAAAAAAAAACAAACCCTGAACACGCTAAATCTCTTTTTTTCTTTTTTCATCTCAAAGATTTACAATTTGATAGCTATAAAGGTTCCAGATTTCATCTGCCTATTTTGTCTTTATCCACTGCATGAAATAAGGCAAAATTTAGACCCAAATGCCTTAGACTGCCCAGTGCAGTCACAGCCTCCTTGGCTGGTGCTTCCTGTGTCAGTGGTGACACAAGGTGAGTTGGGTCAGTGACTGTCCCTTTGCTGCACTGGGGTGAGCTCAGAGCAGGGCATATGCTCAGAGTTTGAAACCCCAGTTATATTTAAGCTTTRTGCTCTAATTTCTGTTTCTAATTCAAATAGCTCTACAGGAAACCATTTGTCAGTATTTCCTTTTTTTTTTCTAAAATAAAATCAAAGTCAATGAATGTAAAATTTCAACTTTTTCCCCCTAATGTTTAGATTAATGGAGATTTGTAGAGACCTGAAGTAGATTCTCTTCAGTCACTCAGCACTGGCACTGCATTCTGTGAAGGGAAATAAAATGTTCCAGCATGTCAGAGTRCACAAAGGAAAGAGCTGAGAAATTAAAATCCCCAAAATAACAGTGCTAATATTTCCTTTTTGTATAGTTTCTTATTTTAAATGGTARTATAAAAAGCAGTTTTACTTCTAGGTGACCTTGTTGTAGTGGCTGTTGTGGCAGGAAGCTCCAGAAGTGTGTAATGTGATGTTTCTCTGGCATGGGAGCACACAGAACTAGATCTATGACACAGTTTCTTTGAGAGGCTCTTCTCAAGTGTTTTAGCACTCAGTGGTATCAAGCTTTGCGGCTGCTGTCAGCACAGAGGTTTGAAAATCCAAATAAAAAGCACTAGTAATAGTGAAATTTTAAATTAAATGTATCTATCACCCACCAATGACTTCCAAAAATGAATTGTAAAAATAACATTCTGACAGTGAAAACAAAGCTTGAGTCATAAATGCTGTTTATTCTGCTTTTCCAGGGGTAAAATGAGCACACTGAAATGCCTTGTGCTGTTGTAAAGCACTGCAGTCCAAACTGCCAGGGAATCACAGATTTGATGGAAATGACCTGGATTGCCCCACGGAACCTGTTCCTGCGGGTGGTTTTGCAGGCAGAGTCTCAATCCTTGTCCTGGTGCTGCAGCTCCTGGAGCTCTGGCTGTGTCCAGAGCCAGCTCTCCTCAGGGAATTGTGCTGCCCCGGGCTCTCTGCTCTGATCTGCTGCGCCAGGACCAGCCTTGTTCTTTATTAAGAGTCAGCCATGCTGTTAGGAAAAGCCCAGCCAATGTCCATAGGGATCTTGGGCCGTGGTAGCAAAAGAATTGACCTTGAACCCACACTGATGCCCAGCTTAGGCAGAGAAGGAGTCACCCCATGGCATCTGAACTGGACAGTGTGTCAGAGGCTCTTTTCCTTCCCCTTCCCCAGGGACAGCCTGGCTTAAGCACTCTGCATTTGGTGGTGCACTCAGAACTGTTGGACCAATGTGTTTATTCATATTGGATTTTAAATCTGGCCATTTGGACTTTTCCCAGCAGACAGTGGTGTCAGGGGGCTGCMGAGAGCAGGGGCTGGGGGGCAATGGGGAAGGTGCTCCCAGAGCCCCCGGCCTGGCAGGTGCCTCTTAAAGCACTTTGAAGCTGTAAAGCTGATTGTAATTCCTTGGAATCCTCCTTTTACCTTCTCTTAAATTCTCTCTCTCTCTGATAATCTTTTCTAATGCACAAATACTTACACCATGGCATTTCCATTGAGCTGTTGCTGTCTGTCASAGTACACTTTTATCCACATTTCTAGGCAAAATTGGTTATAACTTGCAGTAGCAATTCAAGTTTCTATGGATAGGGAATTCCAAGGTCACACTTTAAAATACAAATGGCATAAATGTTCCTTTACTTGTTTGCTTTTAAAAAATAGAAATCCTGAGTAAAACAATTGTTTTCTGAAGAGTGGTGTCCCAGATGTGGCGGTTCACAGCGGGCAGGGGGAGTGGGCGTGTGCCTGGGAAATGACTCATTTGTGACCCCTGAAGAATTTGGGTACAGCTGGAAACAAAGTGCCCAGTGTTCACACAGCAGCAGGAACATCTCGGGTTTGTGCAGTCGCTCTGAATCTTCWCTTTCTGGGAAAAGATGAATTTCAGGTCTAGTTTTTACCACTGGGGTGGGGCAGGGATAGTTAACATAGGGTTCACAGGTGCTTTGAGTGTGTTTGAGGCTGAGGTTCATCACTGCTGGTGTTTGTGGGGGTTCCCCAAAGTTACCCACATCCCTGGGGGCCACAGAATCCGTGCTGGTTCCTCCTTGGCCAGTCCTGTCCTGTGACAGAGCAGGGGACTCACATTGAACAACTGTTGCCTTCCAGCTCACCTACTCTGGGACCTACTGCATCAGSTTCCAAGAGGCATTTTATTCTTGCAGGTATCAGCCTTGGAAGATTTTTGCTCTTTAATGAGCCCAGTTTTAAAATAAAGAATCTTTTCTTAGAATTCTGTCTTACATTTTTCTTCTTTTGATTGCTTTGACATTCAGTTTGTAGAAAATTTATCACAAAATAGAGGTTTGGTTTCAATTCAGAAAAAGGAACAGGTGAACTTGAGCACTTTGTTTTATGGATAACTAATGGAAAGATGAATGTAGAGAAGATGAAAGAATACATTTGCCATTGTSTCTTGTAGAATGTTTTTCAAGGTGGTTTCTGGTGTGTCACAAGTTTTTAACCCATATTTAAAGCTGTACATTTCAATGTGAAAAAGCTTATAACAGTTATCTCTTGTAGCTTCCAATAAAGACTTGCCAGCAGAACACCCACACCAAAGTCAGCACGGAGCACAACAAGGAATGTCTCATCAACATTTCCAAGTACAAGTTTTCCCTGGTCATCAGTGGTCTCACCACTATCTTAAAAAATGTTAATAACATGGTAAGTTTTCTAATTTTCCATTGTTCGGTGATTTTTTTCAAGTGGTTGTTATTTATTTGTGTTAAACAACCTGCAGAGAATTACTTGAAATTTAGCCAAATTGTTGCTTGTCATTTACATTTAATTATTTTCTGTTCTGAAGTTCTCCAGCAGCACCAGTCAGAGGCAAATTCTAGAAAGGCATTGGGACTTGGGCAGAAAGATCCAAAGGWGTTAAGGGGACTCTTCTGTTGGGAGGTGTGAGGATTTCCCTGGGAGGGTACACAAAGGCTCTTAACCCTGCTCTGGGGCTCAGAGCAGTGTCCAGACCCTACTGGAATGTTCTAGGACCAGCTCAGTGGGAAGTGGGAGCATGTTTGCCATAGGAAAGTGCAGCAGGGATGCAGGGAAGCAGTTTGGGCAACATCTGTACAGCAAAGGAGCTGCTGAGCAGCACCACTGGGAGATTTTTTTTCTCCTGCCAAAGCATGACCCACCAGGAATCCTTTTGGGAAAGGAAGGAGGGGGAAAAAAGGGAAAAGGATTTAAAATTTGGGTTGTTTGAATTTTCCAGGCTGTGTGGGTGTTTTACTGTGTGTCTGTGTATATAATATATATGTATTTTTTAAGAACCAGATGAATTTCAGTCAGAGCCTTTGTCATGAGAAAGGTTTAGTTCACTGAGTTTTGAATCCATGTAATTTGGGATCATTTGAAGACTCCCCAAACAGGTAACAGAACTGTCTAAGCTGTGGCAGTACTTCTTTTAATGGTTTTAGAGAGATGGTTTAGAGAGAGCCTTTGGCTGACAGTTGTACAGGGATGTGCATCTTATGGAACTGCAGAGCACTGATAAAATGAGAAAATAGGTTGCCTTGCTGCTGGGGGTTTTAGGCTGCTTAAAGCTACCTGTAATCCCTTTGGAGAGAGAATTTATTTTAATTAAACTCTACAGGCATGAGGGAACATGTTGATGTGCAAGATGATCGGCTGATAAATAGTTTTACAGTTTTACAGTTAAAAGAAGTTTCTGTGTATGATACATAGATTTTGAGTGTATAGACCTAGCTAAAAGTGTCAATTTAAAAGTCAACATTTGCCCTGAGGAACAAGTTTGAATGTTTGTCATGTGTGATGGTCTCAGCTTCTATGGCAATCAGCAATAATTCAGAAGGATTTCTGTAGCTGAAATAAGACAAGCGAATGTCAGTCACAGTGGTCTTGGTTTCAGAGATAGTCTCAGCTGAAACCTGGGCTTAGGTGAGCCACCCCTCCGTGAGGTAAAATAAACTTCTCTGGGTGATTCTGACAGGTGCTCTGTCTGTGGGCAKTTGTACCAATGTATTTTCAGCTGAATCTTTTCTGCTTTATTTTGCTGTCTTAATATTGCCTGTTGTTGGCACAGGATTGGGTRCTGGCTGAAAACACCCGAGGGAATCCTGCCTTCCTCCCATGTCTGCACTAGGGCATCTTTTGGGAGGGTTTCATGTGTTTCTTCCTGTGATCTGTGCTAAATTTTGCAACAGTAATAAGCTTGTTGATAGGGATTTGTTGCAACAGCCGTTCTATTAAGCTGTTGGCAGTGAAATACGTAACTGGAAAAGAGTCAGCAGCAATTGATACCAAAATAGGTTCTGGAAAGGTGGAACCTACATTTCTGAGCAGCTGATGGGCCTGGCAGAGGTGAGGGGCTGCAAGACACCTCCAGTCTTACTTTGTGGGGACTGTTTGTTCCTTTTAATGTTTGGCATTGTAGTCTGGACAAAGATGTTTCTTTAGTGATAAGGCTTTAGTTCCTATTCTAATCTGATTTTTGCTGACTTTGTGTCTAAACTCCAAATCAGAGCAGTAATGGAGCCATAATTTACTGTGCCACTTTTCTACTTCACTTTCATGTATTACAAGTCAAATATCTGTGTCTCAGATGAATCCATATCCCTTCTACTTCTAGAGAATATTTGGAGAAACTGCTGAAAAGAATTTATATCTATCTCAGCTGATAATCTTGGATACACTGGAAAAATGTCTGGCAGGGGTGAGTAGGCTTGCATAAGCAATTGCTAAGTTGGAATCAAATGGGTTGGAGAGTACAAGTCAAATGCTTGTATATCTGTTATTACTGGTACTAAACTTAAAACTCAGCAGATTTAGAGCAAAGTAAGATTAATGCCGTTTAAAAAATAGTAAAATTTCCTATAAATGTAAGTAGTTGATGTAATTGATAYATTAATGTTTTGGAGGGTGCTTTTTATTGCCTAAAATTAGTGATCTTTTTTTCATGTTAAAAGTAGCAGATAATTCAGTACAATTTTTTCATTTTGTGCTACTTAGTTCTCAGCATACAGTGCTGAGTTTTCTTTAAACGTTTTGCAACTTTGATTTGTTGAAGTAATTTTCCATGTGCTTTTATATACAGCAGAAACTTTGCTGCCACTACTCTAGAGATGATTTTTGCAGGTGTTTCCTAGATTACATTAKTTAACCATGTCCAAATGTCCACTGGGAGTCCAGGTCTGAGGTTTCCAGGCAGAGCTGCTGCAAGGCAGTTTGCTGGTCCCTTTGGGAGGAGAGTAGTGCTGGTTGTACAGCTTACTGTGCTGAGCTGGAATTGCAAAGCCAAACTTCACCGAGAGCAAAATTTGCAGTTTATTSTTTTAACAAGAGGGGGATTTTATTTTTAAGCTGTATTCAATTTCCAGCTTTTACAGCAGAGGAAAAGACCTCTCTTCAGCACTTTTTGTCTTTGTTGCATYGAGTCAAAATACAGTTTTAACTTCAGAAATTGCTTATTTTAAAATACTTCCTCTATGCATATTGTTTGAAACAGTGGTTTTCCTGATAGATCAATATATTTCAACAGCCTAAAATTGTGCTGAATGTTTCTTGCTCTGTCACTTCAARTGAGAGCCATTTGAGGCAGAATATGTTAAATCAGAGTGAGCCAAAGCTCTGTACAAAGCGTGTTGTGTTCTGTGGTATCTTCAGATGGATTTCTTGCTCAATGTTTCATCAAGTTCTCATGGCAACAGGACTCAGGTCAACYAAGTGGGAGTCTCTGAAACTTCCCAATTCCCTATGGAAAATTCATTGGTAGAATTTTAGAAAGCTTTAGTGCTGACCCTTCTGTTAAAAGTTGCTYTTAGTAGAGCAAAGTTTCACTTTGAATTCTTTTGTAAATAGTTTCCTTATGTCTCACACTGTGCAAATTGGCAAAAATTAGATTTTTCTTTTGCAGGGAAGTTAAGCCATTTTTGACTCGTATAGAACAATTTCTGGCAAGAGCAAGGGAGAAGCACCTCTTTTTTGGTTCATTTTTTAATATCAAATACTCGCTGTCACAATATAGTGACCAAGCCCATATGCAAAGAGAGGTGAGGATGGGTTCTGCAAAACCCTCAGTGGAAGCTGCAGAAGCAGTGCTGTCCCAAAACTTCACACAGAGCAGTGGGGTGCATTTATCAGACTGAAGTATGTGCTACTTTGGAAATGAGTTTGATGTTTTGCTAAGATGCAAAAGATTGGATGCTAAGGATGCTAAGATTGATCAGCCTGGTGTCCTGCGTGTTTCTGAAGGTGTGGGCTGGTTCTGCTGCAGTGGATGGGATGTTCTCAGAGGGGAAGGAGCCGTTCTGTGCGGACTCTGTGCGGGTGGGAGGTTGGATCCAGGGCCTGCTCAGGGCAGGTTCCCCAAGCTTTTACCTCCTTTACAGAATTGAGTGGAACACTATTTGTTTGCAGCAACCCAAGGACACCATGCGCCTGGACGAGACCATGCTGGTGAAGCAGCTGCTGCCYGAGATCTGCCATTTCATCCACACGTACCGCGAGGGCAACCAGCACGCGGCCGAGCTGCGCAGCTCCGCCTCGGGMGTGCTCTTCTCCCTCAGCTGCAACAACTTCAACGCCGTGTTCAGCCGTATTTCCACCAGGTACTGCCTTCTGCTGAGGGACAGACAGGCTTTGCCTGGCTCCCTGCAGCCTCTGCCAGCCACCAGCACTTCCACTGCTCTTTAACAGTGTCACGATCCGCTTAACTCAAGCGGGARTCGTGAGGGTTCATTGTCAGAATCTCAGAGTGCAAAAGAAAACGAGGGGYAAATATAYATGCTTTAAATAATCAAGAATAATTTATTTGGATATTTTGCGATAGAAGAAGGTGAGAGAAAGAGAGAGAGAGAGGGTGGGGTTATAGCTACCAACGGCTCCGACGAATCCTCCGAGGTTCCATAGGGTTCTCCAGCATCCGTCGGGAGAGAACTCCATCGGGGTCTTCTCAGGGAGACTTTTTATGGTCTTTTTGAAAGCGAGTGGCTGAAAGCCAGGGGGGGGTTGTGAAGCATGAGCCAGAAATCTGGCCCCACCTTGATCCGGCTCAGACTCCCCCCCCGAAAGCATGTGGCAGCAAGTCAGGGTAAAGCATGGAAACCTGATGGACTTGTGAAGCATGGAAGCCTGATGGAAACTTGTGAAGCATGGAAACCTGATGGACTTGTGAAGCATGGAAACCTGATGGAAAGTTGTGAAGCATGGAGAAGATCAGCTGAGCGGTGGGGAGAGAATGTCCATCCATGAGGTCGCACCGCTCTCTTTAAACAGAGCAGTCATCCATGGTGGACCCGCTGTACCTGCCAGTCCAGGAGCTGGAAATCTGGCAGTCACCCCACCTTGATCAGGCTCAGACTCCTTTAAGCAAAGAGTCCACCTTTTCTTCCCCTCGGGGTTCTCCTTTTTGGGGTGTTCAGTCAATGATCGTGAGACAGTCAAGGATCCTTAGTATAGTCTCTTACAAACAGGGAACTCTCAAATGGAACACCCTCAGCCTGGCACGGTTTTCAGGGTTGGGTTGAAAACTTGGGTTTCAGGTTATCAAATAAACCTGTTTCATCTCCATCCTGGGTTACTGCTTTTATTGCTTTTTTTTTTTAATCTGCTTTCAAAAGTGTGAATGAAAAATAGTACAGCTGGAAACTCACCTTGTGAGTGCAAGGTGTCTTGGGAAAAAAAAGGATGATGGTGAAGTGAAGCTAATGGTTGTATTGATGCCTTATCAATCAGGCTAATCTGAARTAGAGGCCAGACAAAGTTAAGAGAATGAGAATAGACAACTTTAATCCAGGCCTAACAGGCCCCTGGTACATTAGGGCAGACAAAGCCTCCTCCTGAGGCTACACCCAAAATGGACATTGGGTCACGAGGTCTTCACCTTTTATGAGTTCTGCCTTATTAATATATTGGGTCTTAATTCTCCAATGATCTTTACAGGTGATGATGTCAACCACCCCAAAATTTGCTCCAGCCCAAGTCGCTGTTGTTTCCATATTTTGGGGCTCTGAGGTGTCCTTGGATTCAGGCTCAGAGAGGGATTGTTTTGACTAAAGATGAGAGAACGGTAGTTTTAGTGCTGTACTAGAGAAGTACAAGAATACAGATGCATGAAAATAGAGAAACTAAAAATCCTAAGGCATCAGTATCCATTTACTTACAAATTTAGAATGAAAATTGGTGATTGTCCGCAGCTCTGCTGGAGCCCCATGGCTGTTTTCCTGCTAGGAAGATTTTATGTTAAATCTGTTTTATGCCTGAGGGGGACAAACAGCTGGGCTGTTCSTTAGTTGTTGGAAAAGACCCATTTGTCTTCTGACCGACTTGAGTTTCACAGCACATTTACTGTAAAAATAACTGGATTTTCTGCTTTTCTAAGTAAGAAGAGAGACAGGCCCAAAATTTCCATCTATCCTTTGCTCTCTTTGCTCTGTTCCAGATCCTTCTGATGCTTCAGCATTTGTCAGTCCACTAGAGTGGTGTGTTAAGCCTTTTATTACTGAAATACTTTGATGTTTTTTGAAAGGTGCTTGAAGTAGCTTAGCTGTTGTCACACAGTGTTACAGTTGACATCATTCTTGATTTWTTAGAAGTGGAGCTTGGGCAGCCTTACATGGTCACATAGCAGTGAGTGAGCCAATTCAATTGCAACAAAGATTTATATTTTCCTTACATATTTATATAATTCTTTGGAAAATGATTGCCTTTAAGAAATCTATCTATCTATCAATCAGTCTAGATTGCTTGAGTAATTTGAAATTTAAAGGATTTTCAAAGTTTTTACAGAGCCCTTAATAACTTCTATTTCAAGAACATTGACTTGGCAGTTAGCGTGGGGGATGTGGTTTTTACTCTGTAGGTTGATTGTGTTTTGTTGCTTATGGAAATGGAAACAATTCCTTTTGCTCCTTTTATATGAAGCACTTGTCCATTGAATTATTTTGAGAATCTTTGAATCTAGTCCCTGGATCTGTGTGTATTTGTATGTGTGTAGCATGGTTTGTCCCCAAACTCCAAAGGTCCCTCCTYTGAGCTGGAGCAGAGTGCTTTTCCCTTAACCTGCTTTCCCTTGCCTTGTACAGCAGTAGTTAAATGTTTGACCAATTGTTGCTGGTCTCCACAGGGGTCAGCCTGCTGCCACTCAGCATTGCTGATCCCTGACCTGRGTTTCCTGTTTAGGAATATTTCTGGGCCTTGCACAGCAGCTGGGGGATTTTTGGCATGAAAAGCACAGCAGTGGGGACCTTCCCATTCCCAGTGAGGGCTGTTAAGTTTCCCTGGCGCTGAAGACATGAAGAACTGCTTTTGTGTCTAGTRCTAGAAATCACATTCCATGTCTGAAACACATCTGTAGCCTTGGAAGGAGCCATGGCAGTCCCAAATTTGTGGGAACATACACTTTGGTGATTAGTGGCGTGGTGTCTGCGAGATGCTGACTAAATTCACTGAGACACAAGTGTGAAAAGATGCCATTGTGTTTAAACTGGTGTGATTAAACTTCATCCTGTGTGCTCAGGCCAGAGAAACATGGACCAAGAGTGGTTGTAGCTCACTCCAGTGATGTCCTGCTGCACTCTGAGACCTTGCCTGGGGCAGGACCTGCTGTGAAGGAGCAATAGCCTAAAGGGGCCATGAGTCCATGACTTTAATGTTYAGTTGAAAAGATGACAAAGTTACTGCCCCAGGAATGGATAATGGGAGGATTTAGGCAAATCTTTGGCACAGTCAATCCTCAGAAGGTACTGGCATCTTKTAAGACTCATCACTGGGTTTCTAGCAACATTTTCAGCATGAGGATGGCATAAGGCTGTAATATTAACTCTTAATCATACAAGATCTGTCTTTTCTTTCTAAATATGGAAAAGTTTATCTCGGTTTATGGAACGTTCCCCTGCTCTTGAAATGTATAGACTCACAGGTGGGTTCATACCTGTCTGACAGGATCTGATGAAGCAAACAAATTTCTCTTTTGTATTTTTAGGTTGCAGGAACTGACTGTTTGTTCAGAAGATAATGCTGATGTTCATGATATTGAACTTTTACAGTACATAAGTGTGGATTGTTCAAAACTCAAGCGACTCTTGCAAGGTACGATCTGAGCCTGTGTTTTGAAATATTTCTATTTGAACCTGGTTAGTCAGAGATGACACAGTGCAATTGATATATCTGGGTTTTATTGCTCTGTTTTACTCCAGTCATGTTTTTTGCAGTATTTAAAAATAGTTGAGTAGTATAAAAACATTGATTTGAAAATTGCTTTACACTTCAAATGTCTTTTATAACGTGTTGCTTTTTAGAACAAGTTTCTGTTCTAAATGCAGGAATCTTTTATCTTTACAGAGACTGTATTCAAGTTTAAAGCCCTTAAGAAAGTAGCTCAGTTAGCTGTTATCAACAGTCTTGAAAAAGTAAGTGTTCAATACTTCTGTTTCATTGCTTCTTTGCAGACTTTCTCCCAGTTTAGGAATAGYTGCAATTCAGTAATTTACTATGAAATAGAAGTTGCTTCCTCCCTTCRATGCAGATATGTTTTGCAAGAAATTTTGAGTGCTTAGAATWAAGAATGAARCCTCTCTTCATTTAAATACATATTWYAGTAAAACTGTTGAAGCTGTGGAATGTAAAGGTGTTTTCCATTATATGCAGGCATTTTGGAACTGGGTGGAAAACTATCCTGATGAATTCACMAAGCTGTACCAAACCCCCCAGACTGACATGGCTGGTAAGGCATAACACATGACAGTGTTCAAGGTTGGTTTCTCAGACATCCCCCAAATGCATTCACTTGCATTTTCTGCCCTYTTTGCTCCTCGTGCAACCTGCAAATAAATAAATTTCTGTCAGCCTTTGTCAGGGCAGGCAAGGGTACGTTCCTGTCTCWTTTCTTTCCTGACTCCTTTCTTAGAAGAGATTCATTTTGTGCTTCACAACACAAAAAAATAAACCCCAAAAGATGGAGACTCTTTAAATGTATATTTTTCATCTTGATACAGGATAAAAACTTAGAGAACATCACCTTTACTTGTCTCTAGTGAAAAAGAGAGGAGAATTTATATTTTCAGGTAAACAATGTCTTTAACTGGGTTGAGACCATTTGATCCCCAGTAGCATGTCAGTAATGTGCAAACCAGAACTTTCCTTCTGTGTAGGTGGAACTATCCCTCTGCTCTTTTATACCTGTTCTTTACCTCTTAGTTAAAACTGGTTTTGAACTTAGGCTTATGTTTTATGCAGATTGTGCYGAGAAGTTGTTTGACTTAGTGGATGGCTTTGCTGAAAGCACAAAACGTAAAGCTGCAGTGTGGCCACTGCAGATCATCCTCCTGGTCCTGTGTCCAGAGATAATCCAAGATATAGCAAAGGATGTGGTAGAGGAAACTAAAATGAACAAGGTAAGGGAAATATCTGGATTCTGGCTCTGGTTTCTAGAGGATATGCTTGGTTTTGCTGATCCTGTATTTCAGGAGTATTTAATTTTGCCTTTCCTTATTAAAAAGCACACTGCAATTCCATATGTAAATTTATGCACTCTTTTTAAGTTCTCACCTTACATATGTTCTTTCACTGTCAGTAATTCATACAGATAGTATGTCCYAAACAATGTTATTTCAGAACTTTGCCATCTCCTTGGAGATGTGAATCTCTGTGCTGTGATTTCCTCTGCCTCCACCAGCAGCAAACTGAGCYTTGCTGAGGTTCTGGGGTCTGCAGGGAGCTGTGAGCTCCACAGTTACTCACATGTGCTGAGTTTGATGTGGCTGAGAGAGAACAACCACTTCTTGTGCCATTGTGGCTGCCCCAGATCAATCAAAGGGAATGTCTTTAATAATGACAGGATTTCTCCAGAGTGCTGCATAAGGTTGGTTTTTGCCATCAGAGTGTCTGGTTTTAACTRTTCCTGGTTTGAATTCTGCAGAAGCTGTTCCTGGACAATCTCAGGAAGGCCCTTGCAGGACACAGTGGGAGCAGGCAGCTGACTGAAAGTGCTGCTATTGCTTGTGTTAAACTGTGCAAAGCATCTACCTACATCAACTGGGAAGATAATTCTGTCATTTTCCTGCTAGTGCAGTCCATGGTTGTAGATCTTAAGGTAAAAATTTCTATTTCCTAATTGYAGTGAAGAAAATTGAATTTTAAAGTAATAAAGTAAACTTTGAATTTCTTCTTAATTGAATACCAGTGTTTTTCAATGGAAAGTTTTGTATTGAACGTAGCCATGAATATTCTTGGTATCTGATTTATATATTTGTATTTTTTCTGAATTACATAGAATTTGCTGTTTAACCCAAGCAAACCTTTTTCAAGAGGCAATCAGAATGCAGATGTAGACCTGATGATTGACTGCTTGGTTTCYTGCTTCCGCATAAATCCTCACAATAACCAACACTTCAAGGTAAGAACACTGCTTCTGGTAAGTCATTCTCTACATACTATTGATGACCTGTCAGTTATAAAAGCTGTGCTAACAGCAGCTTGAAGCTCATAAATGTGTTCAACTGTATAAATATCCCTTTTGTAATAAATCCCTGCATGTTTTGATAAATCTTTTCACAGCTGATTAGGCTTCCCTTGTTCAGATTTGACAGCTTTGTCAATTTAATAAAAAGGCTTCAGGATGTTATTCAGTGTGATAAGAAAGATGGCAAAGACAAAGATGTTCYTAAGTGGCTTTTATGTATTTTTATTGTAGATCTGTTTGGCACAGAATTCCCCATCAACATTTCATTATGTGCTGGTAAATTCACTCCACCGAATCATCACAAATGTAAGTTCTGGCTGTATTTCATCAGCCAGTGATTGGGGGCTTCTGTTCTGATTAATATCTGCTTAGTAAATACAATTTGGATATCAGTCCAAATCTTGTTGCTCCTGTCCATGCAGCAAGAGTTGCTTGCTAATAAGGAAGGACATGTAGATCTGTTCTGCTGTCCCAGTGTGAGAGCCTGGRTTCCAGTGCACCTCTCATATGTACAATGATAAATGAATCTTATGGTTTKATGATAAATATTGATATCTGAAATCACTCTCAGGACATGCACCACCTTCTGCTGTGTGCAGTTTATTGACATGGGATAGAGCTGGCCCTGTGGTTTGCTTCAGGGGTTTGGTGTGGTGGGATTTAAATCGTGTGAAATGGTAGTAAGTGCTGAACAATGAAAATATTTTGAAAGTCTATGCAGTTGCTCATCTTCAGTTGTTACTATACTTTAATTTTTGCACTGTTCAGAAATATTTTCCTGACCAGTATGGAAATAGAGCCAATGAGTGTTGAGCAACSAGCCTTACTTAATATATACAACATTTTCTATTTAATTTATCCTAATATTGTAATGAAAACACTATATTTGAGAAAAAAAAAAAGCATTAGGGGAGAAAGTGCTACAATAGATGTGGTAGTGTGTGTGGTGGGGTAATAACAGCTTTTGAGATGTTATCAAGTACTTAAAATACCAGTTTTCCATTTTGTTGAATGCATCACAGTGATTTGAGTGCACATGTTTTGAAGTATTCTTTCTAGCATCCAGTATCCTTAAATCCACCACTCCCCTCTGTGCCTGTGAGTGCAGAACATCTCAGAGCTGGTGCCTGTTTGGGAAGCAGAGTGATGTAGTGAGCAGCT